GTTTGAGAGTCCACGTGCATCTCAAGGCTGATTTCTTGGGGGGTGTTAAGGTTACCTACTGCGACCTTGGATTATAATACCATTGTGTAACTGACGCAGAGATGTTGTAGAGCAGACAGTGGAGCTGCTGAAGGTGTGCTCTCACTGCTTGGGCTGGTCTTCAGGGGTCCTCCAGTATAATCTGTACACACTGTCCTTCTTCATCCTGGCATGCTGGACTCTGTGCATTTGGAGCAGGAATTAAGGTGACGCAATGGCTGCAGAGGAAATGGAGGAATGGGAACAGTCTTCTGAGGAGGAGGAGGGTGAGGATGTGGGAGAAGAGAAGCTCTCCTTGTCTGTGACAGACCATCATTGCAGCAGGGTCTACAAGCCAGCGAGGAACCGACTCATACTCACCTCCAGTGCGACACGCAATCATGAACTGTAAAATACTCTTTGGTCATGATGCCAAAATCTGGCCTCCTTTGCTGGGGCAATCTTCAGATTTTATTGGATTTGTTTGGGTTCGCTTTTCCTTTCTGTTGACAGAAGCTATTTTTGGAACTGTTTGATTACCTGCCTGCCTATGATATCCCCCTACTGGACAATGACAAGCTGTAGGTCTACTGCAGGCATTGTGGGCAGAGTAGCGCTGACCTAGAGGATGTCCAGCCAGGTTGTAACTATGGGCAAGTTAAAAGCACAATGTGTTGGTTACGCAGTGATGAGGATGTGAGAATGGGATTTGCATGAGAGAGTGTGAGCCATGCCAGCTATGTGCCATGGGGGGCATGGTTTTGAGGCTGCCATGCTATGCCCTTGCTGCAGAATGCCAATGCCGGGTTTTCAGTGCTTACCTGGGTACCTAGTGGACTTTCAAAGATGGCGCAGGCTGAAGGCATTCCGATCTCTCGGCCATATCTGCTGACAGGCAAGTTGCTGCGGAACATTGCATGGTAAGACAAGGTTGGAATTGGACATGAGAGACACCGTAGGGTGTGGTTGGTAATTAGTGAAGTGAGATTAGCAACACAGGGTAAGAAAATATGTTTGGCCTCACAGTGAAAAACCCTCCAAAAAAAACCTTAACTTGTACTTAGCCAAAAAAGCATAAGATTCAGCTCTCTGTTTTCCCTCCTCCAGGAAATATACTTCATTAAGAAGCAGTGTATGTAATTCTTTGTAATTGCGATGAATTGAAGCAAGACTCATGAACATTGAAGATATAATGGGCCGAGTGGTCTCCTTCCGCATCGTAGTAATTCCGTGATTCCAAATCACTGGCTTCTATGATAGAAGATTCTCTTACTGAGCAGTTTGAGAGTGGATAACTCTCCAGGAAAGCCAGCATGTGCACAGCTATTTGGTTTGGAGACCCTGCAATGAATTGATGGCAGTGTCTGATATGTTGGCTGTAAGAGTGACCTCCTACTTGACAGGAAATGGAAGGAAATGGACCAACCCTCCATTTTCATATCATTGGGAATAAAAGTTGGATGAGGGATAGAACGGCAGCACAATTCTTGCCTGTCGGTGTCCTGCTCGGCTGTTCAGATTGAATTGCTGGAGAAAGCAGTTCGGGGAAAAGGTGGTGGGCTTTTGGATGCAAAGAAAATGAGAGAATGCTGGGAGTGGAGTTGAAGTGGTGTTCGCTACGATCATGTGGAATGGTTCAAAGGGCTAAATGGTTTACTTCTGCCTCTTCTTCATGTGTTCTTTGTGGTGGCAGGACCAGAGGTGAGGTAAGGAACAGGGAATAGCTGGTGGATATGCATGACAGAGCTAGGGGTGATGATGGTGGACCAAAGAGTGATAATGATAAGTTGAACCGGATGGAGTGGTAGCGGAAGCAATACTGATGGAGAAAAAGCCTATGGCAGACTTTAGCACCAGGAAATACGCTTCAGGCTGGAGCTCATTTGCTTCATCATCCCCATAAGTTTGGAAACAAAATGCTCTGGCTTTGGTTGACATGTGATGCCTCAGGTTTGGCTTTGTGCCGTTCTAATCAGCACGATTCCAACCAAAGTCTTTTCTCGGCATTCTTCAGCCCATACATCAAAAGCCTCAATGGGAAGGAATGTTTTAGGCTCTGGTCATGTAAGGTTTACTCGTGAAACTTTCAGAAATTCCCTCAGTTTGGACAGAGGCAGAGATTCCCAGTAGGAAATAGTAGTCTCCATTTAGTGTACATAGCAGAAAATTATGAGGACAAAGCTTTGTGAAAGAATAGTCTTTGAGTGCCACATCATTATTACATTCAGTAATAGACTGTGACTGAACTAATGATGTGTGCTGATGTGCCTCTTTGCTAGTAATTTTGTTCAACTAAGCAATTGCAGAGCAATGCTTAATTATAGTGGGCAGCTCCTATGCGTATTCTCAAAGTAGACAACACACTGATTAAGTGTACGTGCACCTTAAAGAGCAGTTTGGAAAAATACCAGCTCAGTGGTAATGAAAAGAACTGAAAGGTAGTATCTGTGTTACTAGGCGACTTTATTTCCGTTGAAATGTTCCTTTGACATCGTCCAGGAAGTGAAAACCACATCTGAAGATTCCTCAGGATGGCTTTTTCACATTCTTGAATGTGCCACCATACATACAGACCACAAAGCCTGGGAAATTGCATGCCTTAGCCCAAAAGCCAAATTCCGATGTATATTCATGCAGTGGAAAGGGTCAGAAAATCTCTTCGATATCCAGAAAGGAAGACTTACATTTGTATAGCACCTCTCACAGCATCTCACATCAGTTTACAGCCAGTAATGTCCCTGTCATAATTAAGGAAATGCTCCCTTTTCTGCCATTGCAAATGCAGAGAGCACGTTCTCTGCTCAGTGTCGGGGACATCAGGATGAGTGACATCTAAAGTAGCAAATTGGCATCAAAGAACAATAGGCGCGGATGCAAAACTGGCTGTGTGGTAGAAATCAAAGATTAGTGGTTGCTGGATATTTTTCAGGCTGGTGGAAGGATTGTAGTGGAGCCCTTCAACAGTCAATATTGGGACCATTGCTTTTCCGGATATATATTAATGATCTGGATCTTGATGTCCAGGGGCAAATTTCAAATTTTGCAGATGACGCGAAACTAGAAAGAATTGTAAACTGGCTGCCCTGTTAAAGGAAGGATATTATCGAGCTGGGGAGGGTTCAAGGGAGCTTTACCAAAATATTGTCAGGTATTGAAGATTTGAGTTATAAAGAAACGGTAGATAGGCTAGGGTATTTTATCACTGGAGCATAGGAGATTGAGAGGTTACCTTATAAAAGTTTCTAAATTCATGAGAGGTATAGATAGGGCTAATGGTTGATATCTTTTCCCAAGGATGAGGGATTTCAAGA